TGTACCCAGCCCATGGTATTCAGCTTAGCAGTTAAAACTCCTGAAGATACAGCCAGGCCTGGGCTTCCCAGAGAGACCACCGTTTCCCTCTCTCAGGCAGTAGAGCATGGGTATTGGTGGAATACACTGATTTAGAATGTAGCTGTCTAACTGCTGCACTGGAGGAGAAGACCATCTCTTAGAAAGCATGATTCAAAATACATCCACATGGAAGAAGCCACAGACGTTCTATTGAAAATACGAAGGTAAACAACCATGGAGATAGAAGGCGTACGGGAAATGCGCCCAGCAATTATGACACAGGCGATGGCATTGCTGAGTACCAACCCACTGGCCTGGATATTTTTAAGGTCCATACAGAATGCAAAACAGACACCGTGAGCACCAAGAAATATAGCCAACACACTCCTCAAGGGCTTTCTGCAGTTCTTAAGATATGTGCAGCCAAGCTGAAGAGCCCCTGACAGACTGGAGCAGGACAGAAGACAACTCCAGGGTGGAGGCAGGGGGTGTTAAGAAAAAGAAGAAGAAGAAAATGGAACTGAGAGATAACACGGTGTATTTTTTGACTTGTGGAAACTTGTATTGAGAGGTTTCGATTTGATGTCATAAAGTTGAGCAGAAAGTGATATTAGGTTCAAAGCCAAGACAAAGTGTTGCCCTAGGAATAGCAGAGAGGGGTAAAGGAGGGACAAGCCAGGACACAGGATGGAACAGCACAATGGCTTGGTCTATTTTTTTGCTGCTATGACAAAATACCAAAAGCTCAGTACTTAGGAGACCCTTATTGTGCTCACATTTTTGGAAGTCCAAGACAGGGTGGTTCCATCTGTTTAGCTGCTGGTATGGCCCTGTGAGCCACAGAATAACAAGGCAGAAGGTACCTTGGCCAGAGTCATGAGTGAGGAAGAGATCATATATAGAGAGACAGGAGCCAAAGACCACTGGGTTGCTGTTTAACTGAAGAACTATGCTAATGTCTCCTGAGGACCTACACCCCACCATCCTACCCACCAGCTAGGACCCACACCTCACCGTCCTACCACCAGCTAGGACCCACACCCCACAGTCATGCCTACCAGCTAGAACCCACCTAGAGTACAACTGCCTTTCAGCAGAGGCTCTCTAAGCCAAGTACACTGACCTTTGGGGCCACAGGCAAACAATTCAAACCATCGAGTACTCAAGGGGTCCTGGTGTTCATAGCTGACAAGGCTGTCAACCCTGAAGGCTCACAGGAGCACTCGGCAGGGAACACAGTGGGGAAGGACAGTGGACTCTAGCCAGGTCTTCAGAGTGGAGATGCCATGACCAAGTGTGGACTCAGCAAGCCACAAATGATAGTAAACACCTTCAGTAAACACTTGCTGAAATCCCTTGAGCCCAAGTCACAGAATAATTAGCATTGGAAGGTATAGGAGTCTGGATTATGCCCACCCCTCATTCTCAGATGTGTTGTTTCAAGTTGATACATAAAATGAACTAGCCAGTATGCCTTGTGTGAGCAAATGAAAGCTTCCAAAACAAAAAGCTTGCTTCCTGGAAGCAGGACTATGGAACAGAAAGATACAAAGACAGCTCAGGAACTGTCAAGTGATTGACAAGAGGCTGATTTAGATAGAGCAAGAGTCCATCAGTCAGCCCTACAGACAGTAGTAACTTCCACAGTGGGTATTCCAGCACTTCTGCAGACATGCTGAACCTACACAAGCTCATCAGTATTGGAATTATGGATTCTGATAGCTATCCTGAGCCCTTCCTCTTACTTCCCTCCTCACAGCACCTGGCTCTGTGTACAGGTGTCTGTCCCATCTTCTCTAACCAACCTTCTCCAGCAGGCTCAATCTCCCCCACACCTGTGTTCCCCCCAGGCCTGAAGCCCGAAGGCCATCCTAGGAGCACAGGGCACAACACAGCTTCCAGGGCCAGGACTCTGTATGTGGACAAAGGGGTTCCTTTGCTTTTCCCAACTGTCATCTCCCCACCCCAACTAGCCACCAAAACATCCCAAAGGTACCCACTTCCCTCCCCTACCCCAAGTTTCCAAGAGATAAAAGATGAAGAAAGGGCCCCTTTGGTTCTACAACACTGATCACAATATAAATCAAATACGCTTTCTTTGCCTGTCTTTGGGTTTTAATCATATTTGACTATATTTAATATTTAAATTCAGGCAGTGAGTTTTAGAAGATGCAGAGCAGGTGTTTGTTTTGTTTTGTTTTGTTTTTGAGGCAGGGTCTCGTGTAGCTCAGACTGGACTCAAACTGGGTAAGTATCTGAGGCTGTCCTTGAACTTTTGCTCCTCTCTTCACTTCCCAAGTGCTAGGATAATGAGAATGTGCTACCACATCCAATTTATTTGGTGTTGGTAATGTCACACACGTTAGGCAAGTGCTCTATTGACCAAGTTATGTCCCTAGCTACTTCCTGCTCTCCATTACTCCCTTTTCTTTTCTTGTTTCTGTTTTTCTCTTTCTAAACAGTTTTTCACGTAGTCCAGGCTGGCCTCAGTCTTGCTTATAGCGCACTCTCAAACCTCCTGTCTCTGACTCCCAATTGCTATGACTACACCTGCCTACACAATCCATTATTGTAAAAGGTTATTTAATTTGACGTGCAGGTGTGTGTGACTGTACATCTGCGCACAGTCACGTGTCCCTGTGGAAGCCAGTAGATGGAGTGGAGTCCCCAGGAAATGGAATGATGTATGGTTCTGAGCCTCCGTGTCGGAGCCGGGAAATGAACCCTGGTCCTCTGCAAATGCAGGAAGTGGTCTTACCTGCTGAGCCACCTCTAAGAATAAATAATTGATTCTTAAGAGGAAACAAAACAAAGTGCACACACACACACACACACAGACCCCCAAATGGACCCAAGCTAACATTTTTGTCAATATTATAATCAGATGAAAACGCCCTTGAAAAATATATAAAATGTATGAACATTAGTAAAATCCAATCAACTTAGCGATTATTTTAATCTCAAGCAACCTTTCCATAGGAAAACCTTTTAGGCCTAGTGTTCACATATTAGGTTGAAGATTATATGGTATAAAATCCGACTAAGGTAAACAATTAAATTAGATCATTGTGACTCTGCCTTCTACTATAACAAGAAAAAAATCTAACTCGTGGAAGATATGTGTGTTCACGTGTGTGTGGGTTTGTCGGTGTGTGTATCAAAGCTTATAATTCTATTTTCCACCACCCATTTGACATAACACGGATACAGAAACAGAGAAGATGGCTGAAAGCTGCAAAGGAGGGTCAGCTGGGGCGGCTGGAAACAGGTCCACACGGCCAAAGCTGAGAGGCTGCGCACTGGCTAGCCTCTGAAAGGAGGTCTTGCCGGTCCTTGGGCAAAGGGAACAAAAACAGTCACGAAGGCGCAGCCGCAGAGGGAACCAGAAACTTGTCTTCCAGGACTGTGAGGGATGACCACGCCCCTTCCTGAACAAGCTGCTGCTCTCTCCTGAAGTCACAGGAAGGATGGGAATAGGTCTCTAAAGGATGAAACCAACTACTCTTGCCCGGACTACTTGGGATTTAACTGAACTGCTGGGACATCCGGTGGACCCTAGCTATTTCCTGTGCCCCAACAAAGAGGCACTGCCTGCTAGGCACTGGAAGGGATGGGGGGGGGGGGTCCCACTGTAGACACACTTGACTGCCAAAAGCACGGAATCAATACAGACCCAACCCTGAGCCTCAGCGCTGAAAAGCAAGGCTTGTTTTTTTCTCTCACCAAGTTTTAAGGAACCCCACTGAGCGACAGCACCTGGCCTAGGCTATTCCCCGCAGAACACAGACACTGCGAAGCGTGAAGAAATACTGGTGCCTGGGAGGAAAACACTGCCCGACAGCGCCAGAGCGGTCACAAGCAGCGGAGTTCCTGCTCACACACACCCGCCTAAATTCTAAATGTAAACCTTGAATCTTGAAAACCCCAAAATCCCAAACACGTGGGATGATCGAGGGACAGTCTGCTGGGAAAATTCTACCGAAGGGCCTTCGCTTTAAAATCAAAGCCCGACCCTGAGAGATCATACCTACTGTAGACTGTTACATACGGCTTTAGAAACACCAAAGAAGCATTTCGTGCAAAAACAGCAATAAAACTGTAAATTTTAAAAATCAAACTTCACGTCTCAGGGGTGAAATATATTCCCAGAATATATTTCTCACTTTTATTCTAACTTAAAACATTCTTAAAAATCATTTTAAAGATTTTTTTTTATTAAATCTGGCATATCTAAGCATCTCAAATACAGAATTCAAATCAATCTGTTTTTCTGCAAAATTCTCCTAAATCTATTTTTTAAATTATTGATTAGGACAGAACAAAATGACTTGGTGAAATAATTTCAAGTGACAAAAAAATTATGACTTAAAACGTTTGCTGTCTTGTAAGTGTTTTAAACCTTTTTACTCAAATATAAATATGCCCACACAGTATTTGAACTGCCATCGCTGACACTCAATTTTAAAGCTGCGCTGCGAAGGCTTGATCTCAATACTCCAGGAATGCCCCGGCATCATCCCTTCCCCCCCTCCAACACACAGCATTTTTTTTTTTAATATTAAAAATCAGAGGCGGCCACCGGTCCATCTCTTTATATCACACGCTGAATATGCTTCAAAAGATTAAAAAAAAAAAAAAAAAAGACGCCAAGGAAAAGAAAAATACCCCGAGTCGAGAATTTTACTTAACTTTGAACACAGTCGTTGATCAGTCAGGTTTTGTCTTTTTTAAAAAAGTTTCCCCCCAAACGGGAAGCTGACTGACTTCTCCAGCTCTTTCAACTCCGTGGACTTTCAAAGGGGTGAGTCTCCTCGCAGTGGCTTTTAGGTGGGGTTAGGCTTGGGGAGCCAGACTGGTATACGCTCAAAGGTACAGTTTAGAGCCTTCGTCTAAAGGGTCTGGAGAAGTGACTTCACGGAGGAAGTCGGCCAGGCAGGGCGAGCTGGCTGGCCTCGGTGAAGCTGCTCTTCCTCACCTACCGCATTTCAGAGGCTCCGGCGCTCCGCGTCGACTCAGGGGCGCGCCCGGAGGCAGTCCCTGGTCTCAAACGCCTGGGGACTCCGCATCGCTTCGGCGGCGCGCGCCGCGGCGGTCCCGGGCTTCGCCGATCGGCCGGGCGGAGGGCACAGCGGAGAGGCGGAGCTCTGGGCTCGGCCCCGCGGGCGGCCGCGCTCCCCTGCGCCCCGGGCGCGCGCCTGGCACCCAGCGTCCCGGTCCCGTGTGCCCAGGCACGGCAGCTCGGCGCTCAGGCGCAGCCATCCGAGCTCGGCCGCGGTCCAGCCGGGGCTAGCCGGGGTCCGGCGCCTCGGGGAGGCTGAGGCCCTGCGCTGTGGCTCCTACCTGGGCAGGTGGCCGCGTCCAGCCCCTTCTCCTCCTCCCTCCTCCTGTTGCGCCGCCGCCGCCTTCTCCTGCTCCTCCTCCTGCCTGGAACGCACGGGTCCCCGGTTCTCCCCGCCGCTTCCTCCTCCGGGGGAACTTCCTCAATGCGCCCCGGCAGCTTCCTTCGCCGTCCCGAACCTGAGACACATAGCACCCCGCCCAGAATCCAGCAGAGTTAGGCAGCGCCCGAAACCGAGCCAGGCCGGGAAGTACCCCGCGATCCGGAATAGTGACGCCCCGAACCCGGGCTAGAACGGAGCAGCACGCTGAACCGAGCCCGAGACAAGTAGGACCCCGAACCTGGATGAGGCAGCACCACCAAACCGAGCCGGGGACGGGCAGTACCCGGAACCTAGTCAAGCAGCACCGGAACTCGAACCTGAGCTCCAGACCCCCAAACCCCAGCAGATGTTACCCTGAGCCTGAGCTGAGTATCACGACCCCAGCTGGTCAGCACCCCCACATCTGAGCGCCCTGAGCACCTGTAGGCTATTGGCCTCACTGCCCCAGGGGCGACATATCTAGAGGAATGCGTCCTTCTCCAGATCTACAAGTCCGGGGGATCAAGGCTCCCCAATCAGAAAGGAAGGTTCATCACCCAAGCTCAATCTAGGCCCCAGGCCCCTTCTCTCTCCTCTGCAGCCAGACAAGGCTATGGCCGAGACTGCCTGGTGTATGGCGTGTTAATGTCAGCAGGCCAAGATGCTCCTAACACCGTGGCCAGAGAACCCAAGTGACCCAAAAGGCGGCCCCAGAGGCCTTGCCTGCCCAAAGCTGCTTCAGAGGGCGTTACCTGTTACCCACAGTCTGTCTCTCGAATCCTGTCCAGTAGCTCTTGACATCTATTTTTGGTTTTGTTTTCTGTTAGTCTGTTAACGTTGTCGGGACCAGAATGTTCACTTTTATCAAACTCTAACCAACAATAAGCACGGCGAGTATTTAGGTTCAGTAAATAAATAAATTCATCAAGATACTAGATGCTGTTTGTGGTGAATTTGAAATAGCAGTGTCCTGTCAAAACACAGAAACAGGGGTGGAGAGGCGGCTCAGGAGGTGAAGTGCTTGCTGTGCAATCAAGACAACCTGAATTTGATCCCCAGTGCCCATGTGAAAACTGGGACACAGGGGAAGGTAGTGATAAATAGTAGATGCTGTGGGAAGACGGCGGCAGATGGCACTGAAGACCCGTATCCCCTCATTGGAAGGTTCAGCATCCAAGCTCAAGCTAGTCCCCAGGCCCCATTGTAAGGCATGTCCTTGCAGTAATACGGAGGACATCACAAAGAACTGTGCCAAAGCCACTGCCTTCTACAAAGACCACCTCGGACTTACACAGAAACCCTTTCTGCAAGGATGTGAGTCCAACTAGTTCCTGTGTTACTCTGTAGGGCACCAGCCTTATTAGTGATCTTTGCAAGTCAGGATTGCTGTTTTTACACAGTACTGGGGCTTGACACACGTATTGTGCCATTAAAAGCTCCCCTTTCCTCATCCTCTGTCGGAGGTACTCTAGTGCACTCTGATGTGCATATTCTCTAGTGAGCGCTGAGACTACCAAACAAACTGTTTCTGTGAAGTCTGTGTGGGTTTTGCTTTGATTTTTAGACACATTTTGAATTTGTTTTTAACTGATTAATGCCTATGTGTGTGCAAGTGTTCCTACGTGCAAGGTGTACAGTACACGTGTGTGTAGGTGTGCACACGTGTGCACACAAATGCATGTGGAGGCCAGAGGCAGACAGCAGAGTTCTTCCTTGGTCCTTCTGCAGCTGACGCTTTGAGACAGGGCCTTTCGCTGAATCTGGCGCTCACCTGTTCAACTACACGAGCTGGGCAGCAAGCCTATGGCCTCTCCTGTCTCTGCCTCCCACATGCACCCTCCCACCCTGGTTTTCACATGGCGGCTAGGGTCAAGTTCAGGTCCGGTGCTTGTATGACAAGATTTTACCTAAGCCGCCTCTCCACCCCTGTCTGAGAGTTTTGACAGCACACTCCTCCTTAAAAATCCCCACAAACAGCGTCAAGAATTTCTTGGCAACATATTTAAGTGCCTGTGTTGAAAGTTGTGCCCTGATTCCAAGCACAGTCGTACAGATAAAACAGGCACAGAGAGAAATTATGTGGGCTGTTCAAACTCAGCAGAAGCCTCTCTGTCTTTTCCAGTTCAAATGACCCTGGGTTTTTGTTTCTATTCATTTTTGCCGATGTGTGTCTGTGTGTGTGTGTGTGTAAATATATATATTTACCTAAATAAAGGGTTTTTGCTGTTCTTAATCATTTCTTATAGTTAATTATTTGTCAAACATAAGACTTAATTTTGCTTCAGTAAACCAGAAAAATAGCCCTTGTTCTCTGAAAGGAGGCTGCAGAGTCCATAGGAGTTTTCAAGGTTGCCACTTATGGAATGGCAGTTCCCTAGATAGAAATGAACAAACATCTACTCACCCTCAGATAGGGAATCAACAACAGGCCGAAATAGACATACCATCAAAATGAAGCTTGGTGAACCAATTGTTTGTTGGGGTTACTTTCGGGAGGAGTATGGGTTCAGGTTACTTCCAGGAGCACGAATGACTCAAAGGCAGCTGCGTCAGGGAGCCACCCCAGGACGCTAGGTCCATGTGGCTCACTTTCCCACTCCAAGAAGTGCTGGAAGTCCAGGAGCCCCTCTTCTAGGCAGCTTGTCTGGGCTGCAAGTGCCTCTTAGCAGTCCTTTTTGCTTCTATAACCTTAAGGAGAAGGGGCTTCTTCTGGTCAGTTTCAGGGACTTCCTGGGGCTTCTGAATTTACTTCCTGAGTCTTAGTGGGTCTGGATTTGCTTCCTTTAAAGATTGAATGTTTTGTTTTCACTCATAGGAGCATGGGGGGGAGGTGGGGAGGGGAGCAAACCTGGAGCAAGAGTGAGATCCAGACATGTCCAAACCCCAAAAATATCATCTTGAGACAAGCAGGAGCAAGGATTACTCCCTCCCTGTTCTGGGCCTTCATGCCCTATGCACACAACCTTGAGACACCCCCCTCCCCGCTCTGCCACTCTTGAGGTAGTTGCATAGCCTAGTGTCCAGGTTAAAATTTCCTATTTCCTTATGAGGACCATGTCCAGCTAGCACCTAGAATTCCTCTTCATGCAACTGAAGCATTCCCAAGCCCAGCCAATGATGCACACTCACCCCCTAAGCCCCTACCCACTTCCTCGGGGTTTGTATAGCCCTCATTTCCCCCAATGGAGGAAAGCTGTTTCATTGGAGACCATCTTGGACAAGGCCGTTTCTCCCCACTCACCACCAACCCAGTTCCTACGCAATGCTCCTGCCTGGCTGAGCTGCTTTCCTCACAGTCTAGTCTGGTGCACAGTGGTGTCTGGACGGCCTGGGGGCAGAATCGGGCCCAGGACGCAACAATACAGCATTAAGAAGGTGTCCATGGCTTTGGACCTGTGTGCAGAATAAACCCAGCCCTTTCCAACAGGCCACGTCTTACAGGCATCCCCCTTAACACACCTGGACCCCCGCTGTGACAGCTTGCGAGCCTTGAAGGCCCTCCTAGCTAATCTCTGCACACAGGAACTTTTACAAAGAATTTGTTTTGTCTACATGATCGTAATGAAAACTTAAAAATAGCAAATGCAGTATAGTTGTTGTCAGTGCTAAGGCTGACTCCTGAAGTCTTCCCGGGTCTGGCCTCTTGTCTGAGTGTCTCTGCTGTTTCTTGCTCGGGTGCCTCCCTTCCTCCATACTCATAGGCATTTGACAGTGAGCCACCCATCGTCCCTGAAAAAGTATTTCAGGTAAGTGGGTGACCCCAAGAAGAGGACATTTTTATTCAATAAGAAAGGACCGTTGTCTGTGCCGGCAACCTAGGTTGTAACTGGTCCTTGAACAACTTTAAGGTACATGTTCAGCTCACGTGTTTCAAGTAGACAGGTGATGTGAATTTGGACTATGGATTGGAGGACAGTTTCCTTTAGCTTGTTTGTTTTTCTGTGCTGTTTTTCTTAGTGGTTATGTGGATGTTCTTTGCCTTGGGAGGAGTAAGCCTTCCATTCACATTTCCTTCTTTCCAGCTGTGGTGACAGATGCTAATTAGCTTCGGGACAGGAAAGTACTTCAGGAGTACACATTGCACACTTAAGATGCACATACTTTTGATTTGTCAATTGAACTTTAATAAACCTGAAAAAAAATTTTTTTTGGAGTAAAACTTCTCCGAATTTAACCCTTTAGGTGCTGGAGAGATGATTCAGCAGTTAAGAATGTTCGCTGTTCACGGCAGAGGGCCAGGATTCAGATTCTTACTGCTTACAACTGTCTTGAACTCCAGTTCCACGAGCCTCTGTGGGTACTACATGCATGCATCCCCTGACAGTGCTTCCTGTGCTTAACCCTCCCTCCCTCAGGCGTGTTTTAACTCACCTTGATCTACCATATGACACATGAAAGGAACAGCCGCATTCCAAGTGAAGAAACAATGAACAGTTTGCTCTTTAGTTTGTCCCTGTCTCCCCAGCCTCACATATGTATGTGACATGGTTGTGGGAATGCGCACACACAGTGTACACGTGGAGTCCATTCTCTTCTTCCACCTTCACCCTTTGGAGTGCGGAACTCAGGGCGTGAGGGGAGTGGGCAGTGCCACTCGTCTTTACGCACAGAGCTCCCCACCCCACCCTGC